GGCGATGTGGGGAGGGGGCGGGCAAGGCCAGCACCACTGGCCTTGCCCTGCTGCTCTGGCCCTGCTGGGAGACTGCGCAGGCATGACAATGGGGACTGAGGGGCTGGGGCAAGGCCAGCAGCACTAGCTTTACCCCGCCCCCCCACTCTGGCCCCTCAGTCCCCACTGTCATGGCAGTGCTGTGTCCACCATCCCCCCTTGCCTCCAAGGAGCAGGGGGGGAGGGGGGGGAGGTTGACCCCTCAGTCCCCACTGTCATGGCAGTGCTGTGTCCACCATCCCCCCTTGCCTCCAAGGAGCAGGGGGGGAGGTTGACCCCTCAGTCCCTGCTGTCATGGCAGCGCTTCTGCCTGTCCAGAGCACTCTGATTGATTGTTTCAGTAAGCACTGTGATTGGCTGCTGAGTGTAACCAACCAGAGTGTGAATAAAGCATTCCAGACAGACAAACAGACAGATTAAGGCTTTTATAATATTAATCAGTCTATATAAACTGACACAATAAGATATTGTATATATACACACACGTTAGGAAATTGCCCATTAAGAATGACGGGGGGGGTGCGGCAAGCAGGGACAGAGGCCTGTGTCTGGCCTCCCCACCTCAGGCCAAGGCCACGGCTGCTCCCTGCCTCCCCACCACTGCTTTGGGTGGGGACTGGGGCTAGTGGCGGGACGCAGTCACCGGTAACGCCCCCCTCCCCGTCCCACTAAACTCCCTCCCCTTTTCCCCGCTGCCTCCCCCTCCTTGTTGTTGTTCAAGAAGCAGGGCAGGGGGTCCAGGCCTGGCCCCCCCTGCTCCAGCTCCTCAGTCCCTACTTTGCCATGCATCTGTCTGTCCAGAGCACTCTTATTGGCTGCTGAGGCAACCAATCAGAGTGCGAATAAAGCATTATGGACAGACAGACTAAGGTGCTACACACACACACTAATTATATACAATTAAGATACACACACGTGTGTGTATGTGCACGTGTAACATAAATTTTTGACCTAACAGCCTAAAGAGAAAATAAATAGAATGAAAATCTTTTCTTATTTTTTGGAAAACATTAAAAAAAAATTGCTAAACGCTCAAAAAAAATTAAAGTTACATTAGATTATTGGGATCTGACTTATTTTGATAATACTCAATAAATTCATCTTGCGAGCTTAATTTTCCACTTTCTTGTCTAGTTATTGTGTTATCTGGTTCTAAACCTAGAGCCTGCAACTATGATTGCTAGTATACGAAAAAAAAAACCCAACTTTGTTTGAAAGTGCAGAAACTGTGGCCAGGGAGTGGACCCTCTATTTCTAAGACCAAGTGAATGCTCCACAGGAAAGCCAGACAGATGCCAATTTGTTGCAAGTTCAATTTCCCTTTACTTGAGCTAATAATATGCCAGCAACCTCTGTGGTCTGTTTTTCTTTGTAATAAGTGCGATGCATAAGAATTTAATTTTTCTAGACACATTTATCAGCTAGTTCTTGCAATTTGTATTTTCTAATAACTGGTCCCAAATTTGAAACTTCTATGTAACTCCCTTTTACAATGTGCAAATGATTCAGATTCATGTAACTGTAGCTTTTTTGTTTCCTTCTTAATAATTACTCAACTGGCATTTGGATTAATTTAACAACACATGCTATTACCCTGAAGATAATTGTAAGAAGTGTACTAGGCATCTGCTTGTTGCAAATTGTCTATTTTCTTTTTGCTCAATTACTCTGTACCTCAGTTCTTACTCATTTTCAATTCCAATTTAAAATTCATCTCCCCAAAGGGGAAAGCAAACAGAGATATCTGTCCTTTTTCTGTGTTCCTGACACATTTTAATGTCTAAATACTATGCATTTCCACTTGCTGGAGGAGAGTTTCAGTATTCAGGAAGATATATCCTGTACAAAGTTTCAGTATACAGGAAGATATATCTGTACGCACTTGACCCTTAGAGAGAGTACCATTCCAGAGCAGACTATCTTTCCGCAGGGATCCATTAAGAGCACATCAGTGTTATTGTTTGTGTAGCCAGACATAACTGTTGAGCTGCTATATGCACTTTTTTCCTAATGTCCTTGGAATTTAATCTTTGGTAAGTCTTAGAACCAAGAGATAAAAAAATGAAACTTTTTCTAATGCATTTAAGTAAAACAAAGACAGTTTTATTATGCCATGCTGTAAAACACTGATTTTGTCAGTAGACTAAGGTTTTATAAGCAGAACCTGTGTGAGGAGCAAGCTAGGTGTATCCTCAGTAATACAGTTTTACCACTCATTCTCATGTGAAGGGGAGGCTACAAGCACTCAGGCGGGATAAAAAAAATTGTTATTTAAGGAAGTTGACTCCACTGATGCTGTACAGTTTGGAGCAATTATTCCTTCTCACATCTTTTGGGTTCCCCTTGCATCCTTCTCAAATATTCAGATTTGGCTCTCTGTTCAGAATTTCCCAGGTTAAATTGCTCATCAAATTTTAGTAGACAATTATTAAGAACAAGTTCAGTAGCTGTTAATTAACCCTCCTTTGTTAGACTTTTTATATCGTTTCCCTTGAAAATAGTTTACGTCATTAATAAGATTGAATATGGTCAAAAAGTTATCAATTTTAAATCTTAGTGCACAACCCAAAAGACATAATTTTCCCCCAAAATGGGAAATGAAAATTTATGCTGGGATTGGGGTTGTGCTTTAGCTTTCAGTTCTAAAAGGATTTGTACAATTCAGTAGAAGAATGTGAAGGGCATTTTTAAAACCAAGCATTGACACTGATATAATTAAAAATGGTTATAATAATTCATGTTACTTGACATCCCTTTTGCAAACAGGTTGGTAGATTACTTAGTATTTTGGGTACACTAGTAATCTAATTGGTTGAACTGTGGTCATGTGATCTAAAATCCTGTCCTGCTTTAGATTTTTCACCAGGCAATCGCCAATTTACATAGGTCACATAACTCTGCAACTTCTTGTAAAGAAAATTCAGGAAAAAGTTTCAAAGAACTGGGGGAAAACCCCTCAATTGGTAGCATTGCTCCTCAGCTTTCTCTATACTCAAGGCAAAATCTCAAATCCCGGTGAATCATCAATGTGACTCCTCCAGTTTCAAATCTCAAGTGTAGACAGGGATTTTGTGTTTATAAAACTTACTCTAATTTTGAAAAGGACTAAGCTCGAAGTGCATTTGTTTTTCCATGTTTGTGTTTTAATTTTGTACACTGGTACATTTTTTCCTCCTACCATTGCTACAAGAATCAGGGTTGTTTTTCCCTGCCCTGCTTGGAAGCACTAGGTACTGGTTACAGCCAAGGCTGTGAGATTTTGAGTGGGGGTATGCCAGTACTCC